CTCTCTTAGGGTCCTCTTTGTCATCCAGGTTCTCTGGGGTTGTGGATAGTAGGCTGGTTTTTCTTTGCTTTATGTCTAAAAGTCACTTATGAGTGAGTACATATTATGTTTGTCTTTCTGGGTCTGGGTTACCTCACTCAATATGATGTTTTCTAGATCTATCCATTTTTCATCCATCCTGCAAATTTCAATATATCATTCTTACCGGTGAGTAGTGCTCCATTGTGTAAATGTACCACATTTTCTTTATCCGTTCTTCAATCTAGGGGTGTCTAGGTAGTTTTCAGGTTCTGGCTATGACAAACAATGCTGCTATAAACACAGTTAAGCACACATCCTCGTGGTATGAATGAGCATCCTTTGGGTATATACCCAAAAGTGGTATTGCTGGGTCCTAGCTCCGAAGAAGCAGTCTCCTTTATGGTATTTTCTTCAACAGTTTTTCCATATTTTAGGCCGTTAAGGTGATCTTGCGCTAAAAGAACAACTAATAAAATTGTGCCACAGGAAATACTGTCTGGGACAAATATAAACTAAACATGTAAGTGTATCAAAGCATGTTTTAAGAAAAGGAACGCATGTGCAGAACCCATGGAGGTCTTCAGAAGACTCTACCAGTCTGTGTATCTGTCTGTCTGGCTTGATGATTACGTCATCTGTCCGTGACAAGCATTTCCTATTCGTTCCACAGGACAGTCTCCATCTAGACTATGGAGTGCCAAAAAGTAAGCTAATAAATATGCCTTTGTCCGAAATAGAAAGTCAAACATTACTTCTTGTAGGATGTGCCATTGGGTTAAAACATTGTTATGATGGCCGGGGTCAGGGTGGGGTGGGGGTGACATTGAGTGGAAAGCTGAAGAAGCCTCCAGAGCCGGAACCGTGGGAGTCCTTCACTGGACTGCTGGATGCCGGGAAGTGTGTAGATGGTGAGAGCTGAGCAAGAGACAGCTCAAATTCTTTCTCCAGGATCTCCAGCGCACTGAAGTGTGGTCAAGCCAGGAGGCTGCAAACCAACTTCTGCCACACACAGCCTTTCTGCCAGGGCCTTCATACCTCCTACCTCTCTGTTTTCTTTTGGCCAGACCTGGCTTGTGTGAAGCCTGTAAACTTCAGTGTTTCTGGGAAGCAGCGGTGGGAGCTCCCAAACACTTGGTGACTTAAAGAGACAGGACTTGGATTGCTTCTGCCAGCTTGGGCACACAGAGGTTTGTTTTGTTGACTTGGAATGCTTCAGCCAGCCTGGGCACACATAGGTTTGTTTTGTTGAAGAATCGAGTCTTGCTGGGTGGTGAAAGCTGCGCTGGGAGGAAGAATGGGGCAATTCATCAGCCCCTGCTCACACTGCCTCTCCCATTTTGTTCTGAAATCTCTTGAGAGAAGGATTTGTTCTCCGGCAGGGAGGCCCTAGCAGAGCAAGCACTCCCAGCGCTGAGAGGTGTGGGCTGAGGCAGAGCTGGTTCAAGTCCCATTTCCTTTTCTAAACACATTAGGTCTTTTTCATCATCCGACCTCCACAGAAAGGAAACCACAGTCAGTCTCTCTGACCCCGCCTTCCCCTGGGAAGGCGTCACAGGGCGCTTTCTCCTCTTCACTGTGCCCAGATGTTCAGCTTGTGATTTTATCCCAGAGACATTCTGTGCTGACTTCAGGCTCGTTGGGTGCTCTTTAGTAGCCTTTTTCTTGGGGGTTTGCTTTCTGTCTGCTCTTCTGTCTTGCTGTTGCGTTTCCTGTACTGGGGTTAGCTGTCACCCTGAGGTGGGACAGGTCCTGCAGGCTGCACAGTAGAACTGAGATGTGACCCACTAACCAATCTGAGCCCTTTCGTACCAGCATAGGCTAGTGAAACAAGCCTGCGTATTCCTTGGGGACATGGAGTTCCCAGCTCCTCCTTGAAGACAGGGAAGCCTCACCCCCAAAGTCCTGCCAACAAATCTGACACTGTGGGGTGGCCCAAACCTGGCCCTCAATGGCAAGATGGCTCCTTCTGACTCCCAGATCCCACGTAATTGTTTCATGTTATTGACCTCAGTCTGTTTCCTTAAGATTTATTTTTAAGGGGGGCTGGAGAGATGGCTCAGAGGTTAAGAGCACTGACTGCTCTTCCAGAGGTGCTGAGTTCAATTCCCAGCAACCACATGGTGGCTCACGGCCATCTATGATGAGATCTGGTGCCCTCTTCTGGCGTGCAGGCATACATGGAAGGAATGTTGTATACATAATAAATAAATAATTCTTAAAAAATTAAAAAAAAAAGAAACTGCATGAAATTGTTCAAGAATTTTTCCTATATACTACATCCTCCAAGTTTTACACCAATAGCGGGTCTTTTGCTTGGGGCAGGCCACACAGCTCGGGCACACGTGGCCCGTGGCTACGATGCACACGACACGTGGCCTGTGGCTACGATGCACACGACAGCACAGTAAAGGAAGTGAGCAGAGGAAAAGAATTCTCGTGGAGACGGAAAACCTACAGGGGCCGGTGACCTTGCCTGAGTTTTCAGGTTAGGGTAAGAAGACAATATCCTTGAATGGACTCTGCGGTCTTACTCCATTGTGAAATCACAGGACACGTCGCCAGGACTGGCCCAGCTGGCCAAGGAAGAGGCTGCAGAACACGGCCTTGGGCAGACCAGCTCCAGTCAACAGGCTCTCTGGCATCAGGGCTCAATTTCTAACCCTGGTTGCTTTCCACTGTTTTCTTTTTTTAACCTTCCATCCACTCTGCGAGGGAGGCAGGTTCCGTGCCATTGTGAAGATGAAGACACTACAGCCTACGCAATTGAAATGACTTGGTAATTTCTGGCTACAGACCTTAGACTCTGACCCCAGAATACAGGCCTTATCCCTGCCCTGAACTTCTTCAGAAACCGCTGGAGAGCGCGGTGAGACAGAGGCGGCTGGTGAACGGCTGAGCAGGTGTTAGCTAGTGATGCTGTACACGGCACTTCCCTTTGTGCACAGCTCATAAGCCCCCCAAACGCTTGCTTTCCTAGCCTTAGTCTGGTCACCATTACAGGGTAACACGACGGCTCTAGGAACATGCCTAACCACAGCTCAGGACAGCCCAGTCCCCCAGAATCTCATTTCTGCATTCAAATCTCTGAGGATGCTTTCTAAGATAAAATTTTTCAAATGCCAAGGCTACTTTAAAAACAAAATTTGGGGGCCTGGAAAAATGAGTCGGCTCTTAACAGCACTCGCTGCTCTTCCAGAGAACCCAGGTTTGATTTCCTGGATTCACATGGCAGTTCATACCCGTCTGAAATTCTGGTCCATGGACACCACACCACCACATTCTTGTGGTGAACAGTCACACTCGCAGATAAAATACCCACACACATTAAATAGGTTTTTTAAAAAATTAAAATAAATAATTTGTTGCAATGGGCAAGGTAACTCATTCCTGTAATTCCAGGACTTGAGAGACTAGGGCATGAGAACTGTCACGAATTCAAGAGTAGCAGGTTCTAGGCCAGCCACAACTACAGATTGAGACCTTATCTCAAAGCCAACCAAAAAGATTACTGTTTTTTCAAAGATAGGGAATTTAAGACAAAGATAGGAAATTGTTTTAATCAACCAGGAAAATACCTTCCACTTAGCTCGTCAAGGTACTGACCAGTAGGATCCCGGCCTCTACTAATTATAGCTCATACACCCTCCCAACACACATATACACATACACACACCTCACCCCACAACCCCCTCCCCAACACACAGACACATAGACATAGACACATACACAGGCACCACACACACACACACACACACACAGATCAAATTACAGGAAGCAATTACAATGTGTGGCTTCCTACTTGGGCCCCAACTAAAGGGATGTTAAACCAGCTACCTGTAAAGGCTGAGCTTGTACTAGTTGATTATATGCATTTCACAGATTAGACAAGCCTATCAACTTGGGGTTCTGGGGGGGTTTCTTTTTGAGGTGTGTTCTTTATAACTAGTTAGGATATATAGACTCTTTCAGTCTTTAACTGGGTCAGCCGTTAAAGAACAGCTAAGATGCTAAGGGAAACCAGCAAGTGAAACCTTGCTGGCCAGTATGTCTAAATATTATTGAATGCAATAAAGCAAATTCCCTGAACCACAGCCACATTCTAGCTAACAAAAAACAAAACAACAACCTGATTCTCATGGCATTTATCACATTAGGATAAGAGTTCAGGTATTCCACAAAGGAAATATGTGCACTGTAGATAAACAAACAAGCTTCAAGCATCATAAGGTGACTCGGGGGCCACTGAATGTTTTCAAGTTTCCTTCACTAAGTGATTGCGTAAGACTTTCCCAACAGGTATACAATAATGGAAATGAAAGCCCAGGGTTTCAAAGACACACCCTCCTATAGAGCTGTCTCAAGCAGAGACTGAACCAGGGACTCCTGGAAACTAGCACATAGGCCTCGTATCTATCAAGTGTTCCATATTAAACCGGGTCTCCTAAATCCCAATGTCCTGAGAGCCATGGGTCACTTTCATAGGATATTAGTGAGTACCACACTTTTCCTCTCATCAGCCATATTCCAAGGTGGAAACTCATGAGAAGGAACTCTTGCTCTACAAAGATGATGAAGACGATGATGATTATGATACTATATAATCCTTTTACACAAAGAATGCAAGAATGGACCTGTGAGAAGCTCCTTTCTGCCCAGTCAGCGACTTACAAAGCACACCAAGTCACCTTTCCCATCACAGAAGCTAAAGTTTAAAAAACGTCTAGCCCCCAAATACAGAGAATTATTTCTAGCCAGACTTGGCCTCCGTCCAGGCCCCAGTCTGGTACCCTCAGCTTCCACCTACATAGGAAAGCTAGCCAAGACCAACCCTTGCCCATCCTCAGGAAACATGTCCACAAGGCAACGTGAACACGTGAGAGAACCTCACCCTGCCCTGACAGAGACAAAGGGAAGGAGGAGGAAGAGGAGAAAACCAACAAGAAGGAGAAAGCACAAGTCCCATGGTCGCGCACTCTTACTTTTCTGGCAGCGATTTGTGGTCCAGCAGCGGTAGTTGTACTCGTTGTTGATGGTGGTCTTCTCACACATGGGCTTCTCCTCCAAGGTCCCAGGACACAGGTCCCCGCATTCCTTTGGGGGCTTGTTCCCCACAATGTAGTTATTGGACACTGCATCCAAGATGAGAGACCAGTCTATAGTGGAGAGGTAACAGAGATCGGCATTCTTCTCAATCCTGATGGCCCCCCGAGTAATGTTCCTCAGATTATAGAGCCCAATATCCTTGAGATTGGTCATCTCAAAGATGACCAGTGCGTAGTTGTAGAAGAGTTTCCAGCCACGGATGACTGTGAGGTTGGGGAAGAGGTCTCCCAGGCTCTCGAGGCCGGCCACTCGAAACAGCAGCAAGTACTCGGTGATGACCGTGAGCTTGGGAAAGCGGTAGCTTCGGTAGTCCTCGGCCTTGGAGATGAGCAGGATGTGGAGGAAGCCCTCAATCACTGTGCAGTTTTCCAGGCGCTTCAGCTGCTGGTAGTCGTTGCGGATGTCAATGCCGGGCCCGCAGACTGAAGGGAGACAAGAAGGCAAAGCCGGGCACTGTTAAACAGAGATCATTCTTAAAAATGACTTTCCAGTCCCCCCAAACAGTGAGTTTCCACGAAACCTGCATTATCATTAAAGGTGACTCAGTTTTTTTTTAGTGCAAACTAATAAGACATGGGCTGCAGACTACACACCTGCATAGCTACCTAGTTACTGTCGCTCATGCACCTACGCTGATCCAGATGTGACATACTCACTGACTCATGGACAAGACAGTTACATTAACCATCCAAACTAAAGCTTTCTGTCCATGGTCACACAGGGTTACATGCAAAAGTCCATGATATAACTCAGTCTAGCCCTGAGTTGCCAAGTTCCTCAGTCCCCAACCCTTCCAGAGAGCGCAAGTTACCAATGCCTAGACAAAAGCTCAGCAGCCAAGTGTCAAGAACTTACTACTGTGTCTAGCCCAAGAGACATCAAACAATGATGTCTACTCAAGAACAGTTACTGTGACCTGGAGAGCAGACCCCGTTTGATATGGACAGAAGAAATAACCAAATAAAAGACGGTATGAAAGGAAGAGGCACACACTTTTCTAACTTGTTATGTTATAACTTTTAACATAATGTATTGTGATAACTGAGTAAGATGTTTCCTAAAGACATTAAGAGATGTCAAAGTCTGTAAAAATCACTAATGATCTCAACAGTCACAGATACAGTGTTCATCTATCTATGCCAAAGCTTTTCTCTGCAAATAATGAAAAAAAAAATCAAACAAGAACACAACATTTGTAATTTATTTCACTTAGCTAACATGAACACTTAACCAAGCCAGTCTTTGTACAACTTCTTTTTTTAAAGAGAAAACCTAGGTGCCTGCAGGGTGGCTCAGCAGGGAGAGGGGGAGGTACTTGATGAGAAACATTGAGTTCAATCCCTAGGACCCACTGTAGAAAAAGAGAACCAAGTCCAGCAAGATGTCCTGACTTGCACACTCAAATGTACACACACAGACACACTGTTTTTACTGATTGTTTTTTATTTAGAAAGGGGAAACTACTTTTAAATTATTAACAAGTACAATTCCTTTATTCCTTTTAACTGATTTCCTACTGTTAAGATACTTGGCCATCTGTTTTGTTGCTGTTGTTGTTTTGTTTTTTTGTTTTATTTGTTTGTTTTGCATTATAAACAGTATTCCAAATATCCAAGAGCACTTTCTTAGGACACAACCTAAAAGTAGAGGAACTAGCTCTGGTATTTGTAGGTTACAACAGTTTTTCCGTAAAATGACCTCAATACTAGAACTTTTTATTTTTTTCTTTCTTTATTTTTAACTTTGGTGTGGGTGTGCACGTGCGTGTGAGCAGGTACCCACAGAGGCCAGAAAAGGGTGTCACATCCTTCAGAGCTGGAGTTAACAGTGTGTGGAGAGACATCTAATGTGGAAACTGTTTTTAACCACTGGGCCATCTTTCTGGAGTATAGAAATCTAGACCCTGAACCTTTTATTTTCAAAAACTTTGAAATGCACCCAGAGAAACAGTCCTGGCTCCTATACTTCTAAGTATTTAATAATCCCAGCCATTATTACCAAAGCTTTTCAGACACCATAAAGGTTCCTGGCCCACAGAATTTACTAATTTGACTCCATGAGAGACACAAAGAAGCTCACAGCACAGAGAAAGCCTATTCCAATTTCCAAGAGGACGAAGAAGAGGCAGCATCAAAGACAGGGTTCTGAACAACCTGTGGATTACAGAAGCCAGAGACAGGCAGAGTGACAGGAGGTCATGGGAGCAAAGGGTCAAAGGAAATGAGTGGGAAAACCCTGACGAGAAGGATCTCAGGAGGAGATGAACACAACCTCACAGGAACTGAGCCCCTCTCAAGAATCCCACAGGGGAGAGAAGGCCAAGAAAGGCCTTGTGAAGGGTTAATCCAGGACAGACTCAAAGTGGATGAGAGCATTACAGCCACTGAAGGAACTGTGCAGGGATATGATGATGAGGGGATAGCAGGGAAAACAGACAACACTTGAGAACCTAGATTATGAATCCATTTGGTCTAGTTCATTCACTCTGCTGAGAAAACAAGGCCCCTAAGACAGAAGGCAAACTCAGCATGTCAACCACACTGGACAATTCTGAGGGTCCTTGTCCTCTTCCATGATGCTTCCAACCACAGCTCACCTGAGATCACATAATCATTACGTTAAGGATGAGGAGACAGATCCAGAGAAGGCAACAACGCCTTGGTTCTGGCATGAGCAAGTTACCAGACAGCATGTGTGCCAGGTGAAGGGCAAGAACTGGGAAGACTTATTCTTGGCTTGAGCAAGTTACACAGCAGCATCACTGAACAAGATATGGAAGCTGGGAGCATGGATCAGTGTCAGGGAAGAAAACGAAATGAGTTATTAGAAAGCCCTCTAAGATGGGGAATAGGCAGGTGGATATATTCGTGACCAGAATATGGGCCAGTAACATGCATTCCAGGATCACCTGGAATACATGCTGTCTATAACACCCACCCTCTGGGCTTCTCTTCCAAGCCTGATGGATTCTTGTGACTTTTCCCATGATTAACCCCCTTCTTCCTCTTTGCAATGCTCACTGCTCACCTCCAACCCCATGTATTTCCCACTCAGGGTACATCCACCCTCTCGGGAGCCCAGCTCTAGCCTGTCTTCCTGCGTCCCCTCACTCTGGTCACTGCCATCATGATGGTAGCTCCAGGAGGATGGGAAATTATTTCCTATTTAGTTCACGAGTTATGTCTTCAGGGGTTGACATACCACTGGATGCACGGCAGACAGCAGAGGACACGTACATGGAACATCAATGAATCGTACCCCGTCTTTGTCATTTCACCTCTGTAACTCTGATCTGACCACTGTCATCTTCAGCCTCCAGCCCACCCCTCCACCACGTCCATCCTTGACCAAACACCAGGCGAAGAGGATTCTATAAAGAGTTCAGGGCCATCTATTTCTATGCTATCTCCTAGTATATATCCCTGCTAGCATGCACGCTTTCTAGTTAGTCTTCCCTCCCCAAAGCCTGTTGCCTTGACAGGGCTTCCTCTTCACATACTCTATTCTCTTTTCAAGCAGGTTACAACCTAAACATCACCCACCCAGAGTGCTATGCTAATCAAGTGCTTCAACCCTTCTCCCAACAATTCCCTCCCATCTCCTTCCCCAGCTCTCATTTCTCCACTTTGCTTTTACCCAGCTTCAGTCAATGACTCAAAACCCTTTAAGCTCATGGCAACAGGTCATTTGTCTGAAATGAGAAAAAAAATTTTTTCCTATGCCCAACCTAAAAAGTATTATTCCTTCTATACCACTGTAAATCAGGTGTATTAATTTGATTTAAATTTACAGGAGCAATGCACTATGTTACTATATCAAATATGTACTTAAAACTATTAGCTATCAGGTCATCTGTTATTATTTCCAATAGAGGATAGAAATTCAGGACTCAGCAAAGAAGGACAGGGAGACATAACCAAAGTGTCTTTCACAGGCAGTCAACATGCAGACAGTACGAAGGACCTGCTACCTTCTGCCAGCTGGCCACTTCAACCAGGGAAGAAGACCACTGGGAAGAGAAGTCACATGTCACACAAAGCTGGGACTAGAGGCTCCTCGAGAAGAGCCATTTCCTTATTTACATTCCCACCCCCATTTATAGAACAAAGGAAAAATAGGAAGAAACTACCTACTTATTCCAGAAGAGAAGACAAGCCCAAGCCACAAAATACAAGGCAGGACCCAGCAACCAGCCATTTTGGATTCTGACCGACACTGCCGGCCTTTGGGTGTTGTACGGCAGAAACAGAAAAGGAGGGTAATCAGGACGGTCCGTGAATGGCAGCATACTGTTCAAAAGGCACAAGCCACAAACAGGAAAGCTATGCAGCCTGCCTGCCTGTCAAAGAATCCTTGCACGAAGGGAGAAAACACTCCCCAAGCATGTGAGGCAGGCACGCCCTCTGCTCACAGCTGAGCAGGGGAACCAAGAAACACCCTTTCTCCCTTTCAAAGCCAACAGATACCTGGCAGACCCAAAAAGACCCCAACACTTGCTTTCGGAATCTAGGGTCGATTTCAAAGTGTAAGATCCCAGGTGGCCCACAAAGAATAGTAGACGCTTATGGAAATGAAGGCAACCAGCAATAGGGAGAAAGGACGGTGCTGGGAGGTCAAGGGTGGTCCCCAGCTGCAGTGTCCCATGAGAGGACAGCAGAAGCAAAGCAGATGGACGCCACCAGGCAGTAGCATGACACCCGGGGGTCCTGGAAACGGGCAAAGAGCATAGTTAGGGTTTGAACCCCAGAATGCCCTTTGGAATGTCCTTTATGGGTTCATAGCCTCAAATGAACACAGTCCACCTTTCCTCACCTGTAAAATGGGCTGTTCCTACTACAGTGCTTTGTGTTACTGTCATTGGGGATGTGGTGATGGCTGCACCCCTAAGCATTTTAGTAAAAGCATCCCTCTATTCTGTGACCCCAACCTAAATACCTCTAATAGGAAGGAAGCTAGCAAAACCACTGACTAACCTACCAATAATTCCCACTCAAGAATAGCATTAGTTATCCATTTAACAACAACAAAAAAAAATGCTTTCAATTTCGATCTACTCACTCACCTTCAGAAATATGGCAGAGTCGTAGTTTATAGCTGAAAATAAGACACCTAGAGCAGAATTTGAATTATTTTTTTCCTATAGGTCTAAAGGTGGATGATGGAGTAAGACATATTGGGCAACCACCTCCAGTTCCGAGGATGAGCTCCAACACAGCAAAGCCTTTGCATTGTGGAAGCAGCCCAGTCTGGCTTAGCCAGTGGCTCACTATAACAGCCACGTCTCTTAAAATGAATCCACCGGTACCAGTAATTCCGTCAACTAAAACCACTTCTAGATGCCGTCACTCTGTAAAAGTCAAAGTGACTTAAAAGGCGTGGCAGAGAATTACTGTCAATGAACTTTGTACAAGGAGAATGAACA